TGCAGCTACAGCAAAGAAGGCTATTAACAATTCCTGAAGCTGTTCCAATGATGAGAATCCCTTCTCTCCTCAGGTCATCTTTACTTCAGAAGACTATTTCATAGTTATTTGCCTTTTTATGCATCAGCTCTTTTCACTGCAAATGTTTCCTCAATTCTTTTTGAGAGCTCTGGCACTTTTCAACCTGTAGCAAATCCCTATCACACTCTTCTTCCAAGGCTTCTGTGCAGCTGATCCTCTTTCATAAATTCTCAGTTTACCTTGCTCACTCTATTCCTATCCCCATTTCACACTTTTCTTTCAGTTTGAAATAGTCAAATTTTAATATCCTGCAGCTTTGTTCATGATTCACTCAAACCAAGTGAATAATAAGATGAAGGAATTCCCCATTAACCAGACACACTGCATGTCTAAGAAGAGCCCATCCATAGTGCAGATCCCTCTTCCCAACTATTCTGCCTGCTGAACAATGAAAATGCTTTCTTCCCCTGGAGGCATTGATAAGGAAAAGCCTGCCCATCACCTACTACAAAAGAAGCTGTAACAAGGAAGCACCTAGTCAAAGTGAAGGACTGCACCATCAGGACACATCTTGGAGGGTACACAGCTCTAAAGGAGGCTGTACATTCCAGTCTCCAAAGTTCCTTCTGCTCTCCATAACTCAAGTGACACCCCTGAGAATCATTTTTATCTAGAAAAAGTAACATTTATTAAAAATATCTATTTACACCATAAGAATGAACATAATATTTAACGATTTCAAGCATGCTCTCTAATTTGAATCTCCCCCAGCTTTCCTTCATTGATATACTGGGCATGGCACAACTGAAAACCCAAAACCTGCAGTGGTACAATGACCCTCTTGGCTAGGTACCTCTGCTTCCCCTCAGGGCAATGCAGACACACTTTTCAGAGGACTGAAAAAGATTGGAAGTCTTGAAAATGCACTAGAGCTAAAGATCCCTACTGTGGGAGACCCTACTGCCTCCAAGATAGGGAATAAAAACAGACAAAAAGTCCTCAGTAACTCAAGAAAGCCAATGGGATTTGGATTCCAGATTCTGATGGCCTCTTACCTTCTAAAACTGCTGAGCCACATTCACTTCTCTGCAAATTAGTTCTTTAATTGCTATCATATATTAACTCCTCCACCACCTAATATTCGTTGGTTTTGCCAGTTTTCCCTCAGTAGACAGTGACGAAAATCTGGCAAACACAGCACACATAAATGCTGTGTACACCTCTGGATTTCCCCCCCCCTCTCAAATTAAACGAGTGGGGCATAAAAGAACATATAAATTTACTTAACACAGACCATGCTAATTACAACTGTACTTCTTTAGACTGAAAATTAACAATTATTTAGAAATACATGGTATGCTAAAGTCACACTGCTAACATTTGAAGATTATACTTCTCATTTAGATCAGTGAACATAATTTTTCCACTTACACAGCAAGAGAATTGTGGCTTACACATATTAACATTCCTGAGTGTTACTGAATGAAAATTTCCTGAGCTACTAAAAACTAAAAATCAGAAATCACCTGGATATATTCTCTTAAACAGAATCACATGGTAACATGAATCAACTTTTAAGCAGTAAAATGTATTTAAGGGCATGAAATAAGCAAATGTTAGTCTTCCCAGTAGTTTAAAGTGTTCAGGTAATCTAGGAGTCTATTATACTGTGTAAATCATTATATTCTTTTAAAACTTGGGGAAGCTAAAAGGTTAAAAAGGCATGCTGTCCACCATTCTTTACTAGCTTCCTATTATTATCCCCAAAATCATTGGTCCTTTTTACAAAGTAACATGGCTAGACAGATAAAATCTAAGGCCCAACTAGCATGGTTGCAATGTTTAAAAAACAGAAGTTCTTAGATGCTTCCATAAATTTAGCACTGGCCAGTTAGAACAAACTGGAGTTGTGATTTAATTTTTACATTAATATTTTTTTTGAACTAGAAGCAACAGATTAATCACCTTTGTATACGCTGTGTTAATATCTGCAAAGCATCAAAAACCAATATGGAAATGAGCAAAATACCTGAGTAATACTAAGAAATTTGGCTTAAAAAAGGTTACACACACCTACACACCTTCTAAATTCTGAGTGCAAGGAAGCCAATGTAGTGCAATTATGCTGGAAAAGCTGCTGCTGCTTATGAAGCGTTGTGCAGCTGTTGGAGGAGAGGGTTACAGTGACAAACAGCTTCCCTGCTACAAAGGTGGCAGGAAATCTATCAAACTGGACAATAAAATTGCAATTGAGTTTCTTTGGCTTTTTATAGCAGCTGCATGTATCTTGATGTGTAGCTCTGCAAAACCTATCCAATTCTGTAACACTAGTCCTTTATGTACTAGTTCTTTATCATAGAATGGTGTTATAAATTAGTGGCAAGAATGGGCACAGAGGGCTGTAAAAAGGAAAAATAAGCAGCAACCCAATACAATTAGAGATGAAATAAGAAAAACACAAATTGGTTATTCTCTTAGCAATGTTAAGGAAATATTTTTGTTCCCATAATTCCCACATTACTTTGAAAGCATGCTAGAAATCAAAAACATCTGAGATGCACTTAGCATTGAACAATTTTCCCACTGAATTATGTCTACACCATGTTATGTGTGAATCTCTATGAATCTCAATAGAGGTATAACAAGATACAAGACTACTTTAAGTAAAATTAGAGGGATTAAAAACTCATTATAATCAGATATTATCTGTTTATAAGGACATTTTCAAGTGATTAGTAATATTTTACCACAGAGCTTTTTTTGTGATTTATCCTAATTTATGTTAATGTAATTAACAGATAGTTATGAAATATCATCTAGTTTGTATGTCTAGTTGCATAAATTGCATGTACTATTTTTAAAAAAGTTCAAACAGAAAATGCATAATAAAGGTGAAATTTTAGAACTGTGATTATTGCATCATCATTCATATCACTACTGTCAAGTTAGTTTCTGGATGCTTTTGTCATTTAAACATTTTCATTCAGGCTTCTGGAACTGGACAGTATTAGTACTGATGTCCAAACAAACTGAACTCTTTTATAAAAGAGTCCTCCAAAATCGCACCACCACGCTGCCGCTCGCTCTGCCCACACTCACACGCTTCCAATCTTGCCACTGTTCAACTTCCTCTGAAGCAAGCTGGAAGAACAAAGTGACCTTATATATTGACCAGAAAGTCAAAGTTAGACTTGGGAAAACTAACAGGAAGTTACTTCTCCAACCACAGGATACCTCACTATGCCAGGAACCAAAAATGAGAAACACAAAGAAGGAAGCAGGTCACCTTCTCAATCACTATGGCATTGCACAAAAACACACAGCTTTTAAAATATAAATAAATAAACAAAACCACGTTATGTACATCTCTATTTTTTGGTATATTCTCAAACTGCATTGGGTTTTTTTCTTGACACTTGGCCATGGCATCACAACATAATCTTGGGTTTTTTCTCTAGGAACTCCAGGCCATTGATTAGCCACATTAAGTCACTGAAGAGAATGACCAAAAATCCATAAAATCATTTTGACATAGATGCTGTCTAAATGAGATTTCCGACATTACATTATCTCACAAAAAGAGTCTAAGAATAGAACTACAGATTATAAGATAACATGCTAGATAATTTCTAAGTTCAATACACCAACGCTCTGTGTAAGAGTTAGCAAGGTGGTCTACCTTCATTCACTTCTCCATCTTTCCCCAGGGACAGTTCCCCAGCAATCACACAAAAGCTTTTAATTATGCCAGTTTCTCTAAAAGTACATTAGGGTTCTTTACTCTGGTTGCAGCTTGCCACTGTACAATCCACCCATGCCTTCTGCATCTTGGGGGAGAAAAGAGGAAACTATTTTTGAAGACTGCAGAGCCGACACAAAAGAATATTAAGAATGTTTCAACAACTAATACGTGAGCTCTGTAAGGATTAAAATTTGGCCTTAGGTGCTTTGCACCTTAATTCCATTTAGCTAAAGCAACTGCTTAATGAAATTATTTCACCCACTTTTAATATATAGATTTCTAGGTTTGTCTCCCCATTGCCCAATAAACCACCATTGAGCTATGAACACAATAAATAAACAGAGCTGCAAAATAATAGTGTTATAGCTGTCTGCAGAGACTCATATTTTTTGAGAAAAGAAATGATGTAACATCAAGGATATCAGAAATGCAAACAATTCCTTAGAATCATAAAGTGATCTTTAGGATTTAGAGATGTCCTTATCACATTGTTAAATTGCACACGTTTAGAAATAGGTAATCTATAATTGAATTAATCTCAAATAAATATTTCTGATAACCAGAATAACCACAAGGCCCCTACTGGCTTCACTCTTTTGTTCAGGATAAGGTAGTATAAAATATCTTTTATACTACTGTGCCTTGTTTGAAAAACCACTAATAACTTTTATGATGTAATTCTGGTTGTAATAGCAACAAAAATCAGACAGAACAATAACAAAGGGTAATAGTCTCATTCATACTGCAAGGATTTGCGTTCTCACCCTGTATTCCATGACAGTTTAACAGCTGAAGCATCTGTCTCAACTTTAATTTCTTTGCTTTTTACTCGTTTGTTTTACAGCCTTTTGATGTTACCAAAAGGTATTTTTATCTATGAGTAGATACGGTGCGCCACCTTGTGTTCCTCTTGTTACTAAAAAGCAAAACCAGCACTACAATTTTTCAGAAGTGCTCCTGAAATTTGATTATCTCATTTTTTGGTATCAGGATAAACTAATACCATCCCAATTTGAGCAACAACAACAACAACAACAAAATCTTTGTGTTAAAACAACAAAATTAACATTTAATTGTCATATATTTCAAAGTTATGTGCGGTACCATATAAAAACATAGGGCTTTCATTTAATTACTGACCTTCACTTCAACACTGTCACTGTATGATACAGCACTTGAAGGCTCTAAATCTAATTACACAGCATTACAAAATTTCCCAACTCTTTCCAACACCCACCTTTGAATGTGTGATCGACAGTGTATCCACCCAAACACGCCAGCCACCCCACTCATACTTGATTGCATGGTAGAGCAAAATTCGAAAGATGGTATACACCATCTCAGTTATCTTCTGCTCCTCAGAAGTCTTTGGATTAAAACAGCAAAGGGAAAGCATCCACTCCTGCCACACAGAGCACTGCAACAAACTCCTGCAAAATACACACACGCTATTAAACCAAATTTTAAAATATATCTTAGAAATATACGTCAGCTAAGTCAGGAATTCAACATGTTTTAAAAAATTGTTACATGCAAGCTTCTCTGATTTTACATACTGAAGACTACATTAGAGTATAGAATTTGCTGAACAGCAATGAAGTTGTATCTGCTTAATGAGTTTAATTTACTAGGAGACCTTGCTACTTATTTTGTATACTTGTGCATATAGCAAGCTATCTTACCTCCTGTTTTCTCTGTTGTTATTAAAAAGTTTAATCATATCTGAGAGAAAGGCTCGCCGAACCTCCAGAGTTTCTGGGCACTGTGGAGAATTACGTATCAGGATTGCAATAACCTTCAAAATCTCTGTAAAACAGTTCAGGAGTAACAATATATTAGTACTAAGTACAGCATAAAACGCAAGGTCTCTTTCAACAATGTTTGTACAACAAAAGCTATGCCACATAAAAAAGTTTTATACTCAGGAAAAGCACATCTCTATTTGAGTAGAAGGTTTAACTAACACAAATCCCTTCCTCCAAGACTTCTCAAACCTACTCACCATCAGACCTATATAGCTAAAGAAAATGCAATCCAACTTAAATTACTCTGAACTAATTTTAAATTATCATGTTTAAGCAACACAAATGTTTCTGCAGGACAACGGCCAAGCTATCAGAATCTGTCAGGACCTTTTTTAAAGGAAGCTCACATAAAAAAAGCATCCTTTAGAAAATCAATATATGAGAAAAATGTGTAGATTTTGTTCTAGCTTAGTAATACTAATTTTCAAAGCATGTGACCAACTTCCAATTATACTTAACAGTTTCTGCTATAAAAAAATTGATACAAAATTTTTATCTCTTATGATCACAATGTTTTCTATATTTTTAGGAGAAAGTCATAATTGTGGGTACATTGCACTTTTTGAAGCAGTGGGGGAGTCACTGTTCTTGTTACTTTAAAAGAAGTTACCTTTGTAACTTAGGGTGCAATTTGAACACAGTCACTGTGACAGTTTCAGTTCATCTCGAACAACTTCTTCAAGGAAAAATTTCTTACTTGATAATATTAACGCTGATCTTAAAAAGGTACTCTAGAAGTCACTCTTCCTACTACACCTAGATAATTCCAGACTCATAACTAAGACTTCAAATACTCTATACTAACCACAGCAGTGACTGCCAACCTCAGAAATCTAAAGAGAAAGTAACAGAAATCCGCTCACATCTCTTGCTTCATACAGATTTACCAGAAGGCAAAAGGCAAAATGCAACCAGATCTCTTCTCTGCATCTGCTTTGCTTTCCTTTCTCTTCCCCTACTTTCCACATGAAGCAACTCATAACTGTGACCTATGTTTAATGACAAAGCAGCTACAAAAGTGAAAAATCTATTCTTTTTCCAGAAAAAAAATAACTCCCAAAGCTATCATAAGTCCATTACATTACATCCAGAGCATAATAATAATGTATATAACTCACGAAAAGAGATCAGTGTTTTCTCTTAGCTCAAAAGACATCTAAAGTTTCATATCAAGATATGAAGTAAGCTAACCAAAACAGTGAGCAGATACCTTTCTCCTATTTTCCTTGTAGCATTGTCATACTGAACGTAATTTAAGACGAAAGCTGTTTCCCTATTTCAGGTAATTTAGTCTGACATTACTAAATAATGCAATCAGAATTTTGCTGGAACCTTAACATATATTAAATCAAAGTATCCTGTGCATGCAAGTCTTGAAAAACCATTTCATAACATGACTGCACAGCCAAAAAGGCTGAGTTATGAACTACGTACACATTTAGATATATAAAATGTCCTTTAAAAAACTATAGAGACATACTTCCTAAAAAATGCACATTATCTTTCTTTTAGTATGAAAGAAAATGTAAAATTCAGATCAGACATAAGACGTATGTATTAATAAAATGGATGTAATTAATAGGTTTTTTAATTAGTGGGGTTTTTTTAAAGCAGACTTTTCTTAAGGTAGCACTTCAAAATGTGTATCATTCTTACGAGGATTTTGTATCTTCACTGTTGAATCTGGGTCAGGATGTTGTTTATGTATCACTTGAGTGCAAATCTGTTCAGTCAGAATCTAGCAAGAAAGAAAAAGATGCCATATCAATGTTCACAAAGACAGCTTACTGAAAAATATCTGGATACAGCACAATCATTATTTCACCATCGTTCTAAAAATCATCCACAACAAAACCCACTCACTGTCTTTCTTGATAATTTATTTCATTCTGTTCTTAAAACTCTAAACTACTTTTTTTAGCTTTCTCTCAAGTGCATACTGCTATTTAAACTACACTGGAGGATAAATCTGCATCTAAGCAAGACAATTATCTTAAGGCAAGACTACTGCTATAATAAAATTCCACATACATATGGGCATCTGGTTGAGACATACAGGTTACTCATTATCTAGAATTGTTCATAATAAGCATAACCAAGCTAAGGGAGTGGGGGGAAAAAATCTCAAGTAGTGAGCTTTGGGGGGGAAAAAAAGCAGCACTCAGTTGCATCATGCTAAGGTTTAATGTCTTCTGGAACATATCAGCACAAATATGTAAGTAATTTTCTGACAATGTCTTACAAGTAATTAGAAAGATTGGATCTTAACTACAGTGTATTACTACCTCAAACAGGACATTGTATGTGGTCATGGTGAATAAGCTTGTCTGAAGCATCAGCCTTTCAGCCAACAAAGAGAACAATCCATGTCCAAGCATGACTTCAGCTTTTCTCCTAAAGTACAGAAAGATCAAATAAACTTATGCATTCAACTTGCTTTAGGGGGAAAAGTTTAAAAAGTGTGCCTCAAGAAATAAAAAAATCCCTGGAAACTTATTTTTCTTCATTTTTTTTCTTAAGTCTTTCACTTTTGGTTAAGGAAAAGGTCAAGGATTCAGATTGTGAAAAGACAAATCATTCCCTAGAGACAGCTAACTTTCTTCCATAAATAAGGTCCACTCACTCATGGGCCCAAAAAGCTGAAACACAACCATAGGGCTTTCTTGATAAACACTAAGGAAAGGGTATCTTTGTCCTCATTTCACCCAAAAATGCAACCATGGACAGCAATCTCAACAGTTATCTACTATTGCAGTCAACCCGAGACATACTAAACCTTGTTCTCAGTAACATAGGGTTCAATCTCACCAGTCCAATTCTTACTATTGATTTCAGTGGAAAAGGACCACTTGAAAAAGCAGGAAGCCATACTGCAAGTAATTATTAAATGAACCTGGTAAGGAAGTGATAATTCCTGGATACCAGTTGCCAATAACAAGGAATTCCACCACATCAGAAGCATATTTAGTGATTAACCTCCAATGTAGCTTTTTCCCCTTTACATACAAACATGTGTATATACACACACATTGAATAATATATAAACAAAATAATATATACAATTTATGTGTCACATCCAACCTTTTTCCCTTCTTTTTTTGGGAGTTTAGTTTTAAGACCTAAACCATGTCATCAAAGTACTTACTTTGGAGCAAGATGCTTTAAGAAATATCCCATCACTTTTAAAGCTTGCACCCTGATGCCTTCACTTTGTGATGCTAAAAGCTTGTAGACAACCCTAAATAGAGAAAAGACAAGTCTTACTAAGTAATTAAAATACACAGCAATTTTTGGAATGAAAATCAACTGCAGTTGCAGTAAATGCAAATAAATTTTATCTAAGGTTAATTTAAAAGAATATTAATAGGACTTAAAAATCCAGCATGACATTTCTCTTAACAGCACAACAGTTCATGATATCACATTATATCATATTTCAATATCTCCCATATATAAAACATGCTCTGAAAGGCTGCTGCAATTCCTATACCGAAAGCTGTCTTAATCTGATACTTTATCCAGAAAACTAAGTAAGCAACTGTTTTGGTATAGATGTGGCTGGGTAGGAAGAGCCATGTATGGAGGGGAATTCATTAATAGCACTAATATTTGACATCTGCACATGCTGTTGCTCCCTCAGGAGGGATAGAGAAAGGCACTAAGAAGGCATTCTTCTCATTTCACCTACATCAGCTTCTGCTCCTCATCTAGTTATGACAAGGCTCTATACTCACTTATGATTCTCTACCAAGGTTTAAGAAGAAAGCCAAAGGAGATGAGGAGCATGTCCATAGCAAAGCACTAGGCTTAACTAACTGAATGGTTCCAGCTGTAGCTTTCCCAAGAAAGGAAGTGGGAGTGTAACTAACACAGCAAGGAAAGTGTCCATGTAACTGATGAAATTCTGCTAAATTAATAAACAATTGAAGTACAGTCTTACAGAGGGAAGTGTCCAGTAATTAACCTTCAATATATTTGACATTACCAAGTCAATCTGTAATACTGCACAAATCTCATTACATGTATCTATGCCTTCCACTCCCCGAATACAAAGAAAGAGAACTGGTATTTTCTCTTAACTTCTCAAACATTTATCTGCAGTACATTAAAGCTTACTCTTTTATTAAAGGAAGCTTAATGTGAAGAATAACAAATGCAAGTTTTTGATCCTTGTAAATCTACCATAAAAACATAAGACATACTTATAAGTTATATCTAATTTCTTTCACATCTCACTTTTTAGACAAGTAGAGTGCTTATGCCCATGTCCCTACCTAATTCTAGTTGGGCTGTGGTTCATACTATTCAACAGATCTCTCTGAATTTGTGAAATACAATTTAGCTTATACCTACATGGACTACTAAGCTCTTTCTGAAAAAAAAGAAAAATACTAATTTCCTAATGCTCCATGAAATCATACTGGAACAGGAGGCACAGTACTCAGCTTTTACCATAAATATGTTCTGATAATATTTTTTAAGAAATTTGAATCATTTTACTAGGGGGAAGGAAAAAAAAACCACCTACCTAATTTAAACAATTCTTGAGACTTCCCAAAAATATTCCATGCTACAACATGGGATTTTAGATCAGCTGTTTTTAAGGAGTTGAAAGGACTTCAAGGACTTATCTATACATAACTGAGCACTCATCACGAGTTATATACCTTTGCTTCTATACACCCAAAAATAATAGTCAGGACATCTAAACTAAGACCAAAAAAAGATTTAGTTCTATACCAGAATTAAAAATAAAACCTAAAGGTGATTAAAAATCAGTCATCTATAACAAATATCCTGGAGAAAGCTGCAACCACAGCAGCTACAGAAGAAAACAAATAATCAAGCCTACAATGCACTTTCATTCAAGCAATATAATCCATTTCTCTGCTTGTCTTAACAGAACAGTTAAGGGTTACCTATTTGCATAGGAAAAAATTATTTTTTATTATACTTTTTTTCAGTGCATCAGTGACTTTAAAATTTTTAATTTTAAAAGAACTCCAAGTGTTTCTAAAGGTTTTTTTAAATTATTTTTAAATTTCAATTATACAGTGTCTTAATTCCAAAAGGTAGATGTATCAAGAAGCATACAAACAATCCACTAAGTGACTGGAGACAATACAGGTGAAAGAACTGTAACAAATGAGACAGGAAAACAAAGTGATTTCTAGCTGTGGACTCGCTATTCATACTGACTTGCTTATATACTTGTTAATAAAAAAGAAAACATCTACTGCTAGTTGTTAAATAAAACCAAATGTATTGCACTAGAGACCCAACAGGACATTCAAATACTTCATTATTTAGAGTTTTTATTATTTTCCCATGCATAGTATTTTACCATACAAGTGAAGTCAAATATCAAGAAAATAAGTTTATAAAAAAAAAAGAAAAAAATCAGTCTAGCAGTAAAAGGGGAGAAAACAATTATAAATATGCCTAAATGCAGTCTCTTGAGAAAGGGCAACTGAAAAAAATATATCTATAAATAAAGGTTAACCAGTAGGTGCAACTGAATGGATGAAATGAGACTCTGCCTTTACACAGTGAGAGAATTACTACTCCACATATCCTTCTAGGAATAGTTCTTACATTTGTTGGCCTGTTGCAATTTTTCCCCCACTATGCCCAGGCAAGTTCATTTTAAATTAGAGAAGTTCAGTACTGTGACCACCCTGTGAGAGCCACAAGACAAAACCAGTCATAACTTATTCTTCTAGTAGATTTCCTCTTGTGCTTTTACTGCTAGAAGATTTTCCTATTTTCCCTATTTTTCTCTCAAAATAGTGTTATTTTTCTGTTTGTTGAAAAAAGACTTTGAAAAAAGACTGCAAACAACACATAGCATAAAGTGCTAAATTGAAATAAATACAATGTTTCTTCTGCAAAAGTCCTACAGGAAAAAATCTTTTTATCCTATAGGACTTTTGCGGAAGAAACATTTTTTGTTATTAGATTAGAAGATTAGAAGACATCTGAATCAATTTTTGTCATCCTCCTTTCAGTTCTAAAACATATGTAAGAATGGGAAGCTAAAGACTAAGCCCTGGTAGATGAAGACATCAATGTATAGACTACAAAAATTGATCACAACCTTCTTAAGTGTGACTGACAGCCTGGAAACATTAAAAAAACATACCTCATTGACAATAAATCCAACATCACCTCTTGTCAAAATGAACACCTGGACTCAAAAATCCCCCAAGACGAGGAGTCTAACATTGCAACACATACACTGACTTGGACCTTTCAGATTTCACGGGAATTCTCACAAGCAACAGGATGGTCAAAACACTGGTTTTTTTTTTCCCACTTACAAAATTCAAACTTACTGTAATCCATTCCTCTGATCAAATGCAGGGATCATAGAATTGGGATGCTCTGACATCAGAGCAACAAGCAACTGCAAGACATCCATTAGATTGTCATCCTGTTGAATAAAAGTTACAAATTTGAATTCAAAATGGATGTACACCAGAACATGGTTTTGGTTAAAAGAACTGCTACAAAATATTTCAAAATGATGTGGAGAGTAATCGCAAACTAAGGACCAAATCAACTAGGCCAGGATCAAAAGAGCTACAGATCTCAAAGGCAAGCACAGAAGAAAATATTACAAAGAATATACTTCATTTTTTAGGGTGAAAAGTGATGCATCTGTGTCTGGGAGGTAGGCTTTGACAGGGAATGGATATTTGCACTATGCTATTTCCTTGCACACACATGCTCATCTGTTTGCACGTGTGTTTCCCAGTCCTTTACTGCACAGGAGCTCGAAAAAAACTGCTGCACATTTTCTGGGGCACAGGGTGGTGTTTAATGAAAAAACAAGTGTTCAAGTCAGGAAAGAGAACTATCACTACCTGCCACAGACAAAATTTAAAATGGATAATTCAGACTGCTCATTGAAGTGTTCCATACTTTTAGTTTAAAGCACTCTAAACTAGAGTTTATTAATTTGTTCCATGTTCACTGTAATTAAAAATAACTAAAGAAGTAGCAAAATGCACCTGTCTTTTCCCATTCTTTGTGGTATTAAGGTGAAAGTTCATTTCAAAACAAACAAATGAACAAAGCTGTAAAAATAAAAGCCCACAAAAAAACCCCACTGTTCAACACTTTTGAACACTGATTCTTTCCCTATTAGAAAAGCAGCTTCACACCCCCTGAACAGCTCTGTTCAAGATGATATTATCGACTTACATTACAGATGCTACCACTGATAATTTAGCCCTATAAGAAGGTTGAACTTTACTTTTTTTGTTGATGTTTTTCTGAATTTACAGTTAGGTATCTAAATGCGTGGTATTCAGCATTCACAGATCTTTTAGACTTGAAAATACAAACTGTTAAGATATTTAAAATATCACGCCCTCATCTGAAGGCTATATAAAGCTTCTGCTACTTCAGCTCACTTTCAGATGTAACCAAGAGTCTTATTTCTTACTTCTCCATATAAAGTAGAATGACTTGAATGATACTACCAAGTAGTAGTAAACAGCACAGAGAATAAAAGGAAAATATAGGTGCAAACATTAAAAAAAAAGAAAAAAAATCCATACTGCTTGAAATGAAGTTCAATTAATTCCTTATTTTACCCATTTCAAGCACCCTTACAGAGATGAGATCAGTTAGATTTATGTCCCCATTTCCCTTGTCTTTGATGTTGCATCTGGCATAAAGTGCCTTTTCCTGGTGCTAAAATATGAAGATGCAGATGTATCAGTGGTAACCAACATTTTCTCCCAATTAAGTTTATATGCTTCTCTTAGATGTCATTAACATACATCTTTATTTTTTAACGCATGTTTTCAATTTTACTGCTTTATTTAAGAAGTAGAATAAAAAGGAGAGAAAAACAAAACGAAAAAAAATATTACTTAGGCAGCCTAAACCAAGGTTTTGACTCTTTTTTTAAAGTCAGTCTCACCATCTGTTTTTCTGCTTGGTAAATTGGTTTGCAGAACAACATAAGAAACCATTTTGACTCACTGGCTTAATGAACTTCAATCTAACATTGAACATAGTGCTTAAATCACTTCAAGAATATTGGCATATCAGCACACTAAAGAATTGGACAAAGGTTTGCTACTTCCTCTGCAGAGCCATCTTGTGGCACAAAGGAGGTTATATTTGAAAATATTCAAATATTTGGTGGTCACAAG